GCGCTGCGCCCCCGCCGGCCGCCGCCGCTTCCGCTCCGGAGCAGAGGGGCAGGAAGCGCGGAGCCCAGCTCCCGGGCGCGCTGCGCCCTCCAGCTGTCCTGGGGCGCCGCTTTGGAGGTGCGGGCCCCGCCGCAGACAGGCTCTGCCCCGCGCCAGCTGCTTCCCTAAGATGCTTCCTGATCTTCACGAAGAAAACACCCTCTGGGTCACCTCCCTCTGGGTCATCCTCTGGGTCACCTCCCTTAGCGCGGGACTGCCAATCCGAGATGCGCCCGCGGGTCGGTCGCTGTCACTGTGTGTTGTGATCCTGAGACTGGTGATCACGAATAATCCCTGTTTCCATCGCAGGATGCGCCTTACCTCCTGCAAGAGTGGTCCTACCCCAGGCCCTCAGTGGGGCCGGGATGGGACTTTGGATCATGTAGATGTATGACGGGAAACTGGACTGATAATACAAATGTATTAATTTTTGCAGAGTATGCCATGGAAGGAGGAAAAAGATCATTAGTTTGCATGTAACTGTTACAGGCAGCTGAGTTACATAGGAATATTATAAACAGTGAGACAGGGCCAGGCCCTTGAAGGAGCCAACATCAAAGACAAGGTAAGATACCTGTGGGCCAGACTTCAAGACAAAGGACTAGACAAACACACCCTCTTACCCCTAGAGGATGGACATCAGGGATTGATAAAGAGTCCCTGACCCAGCCCCTTACAGAAGTCCCTGCTCTGTATTCGTGCCCGCTTGCTACGTGACTCGCTTCTCCATTTGATCCCAATTTAATCAATTTTGCCTGAACAATTCCTATTGGCTGACCATAGTTTTGTCCATTTTTCCTCTATCTTGGACCCACCTCACCTCGTGGTTTTCCTTTATAAAAGTCTCCAGAAAAGACAGAGGCGGGGGAACGGGGTAATCCTCTCGGGCCCCTTCCGTCCCCCTCTTGGACAGAAGCTTTCTTCCCCTCAATAAATATATTCTGCTCCTAACCTCCGTCATTCCTAAAATTCATTCTTCGATTTTAGAGAACACGAACTCGTCCCATACATCATTCAGACTGGGAGTTTTTATTTTCCTCTATCATAACCACACTGCTTTAGAAATAAAGATCACCTTATACCTGAGTTTCAAGTGAGAGAGGAATTACTAAGAGTTTGAAATAATAGCATCTTCAGATTCACGTGCTGAAGTAGACTTCTCTCCTTCGCTTTCACACGCGCATGTGTAGAAATCCCTCTGTGCTGGGATGCTTGCATTTGACACGGCCACTTTTCTCCTGTGGTCTCTGATGTTGCCATCTGCCCGTCGTCCATGGAGGATGTGGTTACTCATAAGAAGAGGGTATCCGACCACTGGAAGGGGTCTGTGGGTTGTTTCGCCCAAAAATTGAGAAATAACATTTCAGAAACCAGAAAAGGTATCTTCTAGGCCTGTGGAGTACTCAGTCATGTGACCATTGTGAGTTGTTCTATGAAATGACCTGCTTCTTTGAGTGTAGACAGTCATCGTATATTACAGTGTGAAAGAGGGAGCTTCTACCTTGGCCTCTAATTTTTTAATTTTTTTTTTTTTTTTTTTTTTTTTGGTATCGGGAATTGAACTCAGAACCTTGTGCTTGCCAGGCAGGTGCTTGTGCCACTGAGCTATATCCCTGGCCCAAGAGGGAGCTTCTAAAATGATGGCATGAAACTCTCTTCCCCAGTTCTCTCAAGAATTGGCCCACTTTTCTTTACTGACTTCCACTCTTTGTGATGGTGTCCACACACACGGTTTTGCACTCCTCGTTGATGCCTCAGATTTTTTTTCTCCCGCGGAGGCTTCCCTCCAAAGCCTGCCACTCTGTATGTCCGAAGGGCTTCTCAACATTCCGTCTTCCACATTTCACAAATGTGCCGAACCGAGCACCACCAGAGCTGAACTGCGCTTCTCCCGAAGCTCGCCGCACCCTCGGCCCCTTCTCAGTCTGCAGCGACAGCCTTCACGTGGCTGGGCCCAGACCTGCAAGGGTGTCCGAGGTTTCCCTTCCCCACACCCCACCACTATCCAGACCTTGATTCTTCTTGCAGTCCTGTTTGCTCTGAAATTATATCCAGAGTCCAGCTGCTTCTGTGTTTGGTTCAGCCAACCTGGTGGGAGCCACGCTCACTGCTGAATCAGATTACTGCAGCAGCTCTCCAGCTGCTCGCCATTCCCTCTCTATTCCCTCCCCCCACCTACTCCCTCCCGTGTCTCCGGGCTGCGAATCATTATCGTCCATTGCTCTTTCTCTGTGCTTAATGGGACCATAGACTTTGATGAGTGAGACTACTGTGTCAGTGTGATTTGTACCTCGGAACCTATGCAGAAGTTTAATCCCTAAGGTCTTACGTTAATGACATTAAGCAGGTAGACAAGTAATCCCACCCTGGTTGTTAGATGTGAGGTCTTTGGGAAGTGATTGGACTAGGTCACTAGCATCTAACCCTAGATTAAATCCTCGGAGAGGATCGCACAGCAGACACTGACACAGGTACTCCTGCTGAAACGGGAAGCCTCCTGGGGCCTGATGGCTTAGCAAGAACTTGTGCTGTGCTCGGGTATTTAGTGATAGTAATGAAAAGCTGACTAGTAAGAGTGCCCTAGTATCCATTTCTGGTTTTTTGGTTCTTTTCTTTACATTTATGTTTGAAAAGTTTTGTGGATCCATCTCAAGACACTGACTGGGAATCTTAATTTCCAAATACACAGACCTAGCCTGTTACATATATCAATTTTATTTCACTTGATCATAAATCCTAAAAGCAGATCTAAATATTGCATGTTAGTCTAGGAAATCGAACAGTAGAAGCAGAGAGATTTTTTTGATAAACTTTTTATATGATATAACTACTTCCTATTCTTGCCACTGTCCAAATGGCCTCAAAGAATGTCTTATCTTTTATATGAATCATATTTATTTTTAACAATAGCTTGAATGATAATATTCATGAAAATTTTTAACAAAAATTTAGTCCATTTGTCATTATTTGCAATAAAGACACGTGTTAAATTACTTTTCTCCTTGCTGAGACAAACTACCCAACACCCAAAGTTAAAGAAGGAAAGGTTCATTTAATTCACAATGTGTAGAGGTTTTAGTCCACAATCAGTGGACTCCAAGGCAGGGTGGCATCGCAGAGGAGAAACAGTTCATGGTGGGCAGAATGCAGCAGCAGCACAAGCAGCAAGGGGCAAGTGACAAGTGACCACAGCAGCCTGCTTTCTATTTCTTATATTTTATCCAGGCTATGTGCTCTTAGGGTAGCTAGCACTCACACCCAGCATGAGGCACCCTTAATCCTACCCAGAACTATGCAAACCAATCACTGGACTAATTTAGTGTTCACACACCCATGATCCCAGCATCACACACCCTAGATCCAGCCACCTCTCAAAAGTCACATCTATGACCATATGAGGCTTTGGAGGGATATCTAGTTACAAATCACAGCACGTGCAAATCTGTTTCTGACATTTTCTGCAATTCACCATCTTTAAATTGTTTTCGAAGTAGATAATGGAAATATAAATAAGAGGATTGCAAGAAGGTGATAAAAACAATGAGTCAGTCTTCAGTATTTTCTAAACACTATTCATGAATTTTGAAAAGAGTAAGAATTTTCATGAGCAATGCTGATCAGTAGGAACTTGCTAGGCTCTGGATCTGGAATATCCTCCATGGGTGAAAGACTTTGTCTTCCTATCGCCATGGAGGTGATGGAACCATAAGGACCTAAGGCAGATTGGGATGGAGTTAGCTCAGTGGGAGTGTGCTGTTGAAGGGGATATTGAAGTCCTGACCTGTTCCTCTGTCTCTCTTGGCCCCCTGGCTGCCATGGTGAATAGACCTCCTCCACCAAGTGCTC